AAATAGTCCGCACTGGTCATGGTGTTGGGTGCTTGGAGTGGGTAAGGTGCTCCATCAGTATTGTCTCATAAAGCTCACCCCAGTCAACTGGATTTATTTGCTGACATCCTTTTCTCAGGATGACATTTTTGCACAATGCACAAAGGACAGGCCAGAGCCAGGATGAAGAGGAAGGGATGGAGTGGGTGGCCACTTGTGTGGCCTGGCAGAGACAACAAGCTGAAGACATGGCCAGGCAGCAGGACGCTGCTGAGGGAGGCTGTGCATATGAGAAAAGAAACCCATAATTACAGTAATAAGAGCAGAAGAATTAGAGGGCAGGGGCTCCTCCTGGCTCCTCTGGTCCCAATCACAGGAAATGTTTTTTTTTTTAATAAATCCAAGTAAAAACAAATAGCCCTAAGAGACAAAAACAGTCATTCACTTAGTGTATTAGTTACCCATTGCTGCTGTAACAAATTAGCCCACATGTACTGCCTTTAAAAAGCACAAATTTGCCGAAACCGGTTTGGCTCAGTGGATAGAGCGTCGGCCTGCGGACTGAAAGGTCCCGGGTTCGATTCCAGTCAAGGGCATGTACCAGGGTTGCGGGCACATCCCCAGTAGGAGATGTGCAGGAGGCAGCTGATCGATGTTTCTCTCTCATCGATGTTTCTAACTCTCTATCTCTCTCCTTTCCTCTCTGTAAAAAATCAATAAAAATATATTTAAAAAAAATAAAAAATAAATAAATAAAAAGCACAAATTTATTCTCTTCCAGTGCTGGAAGCCAGAAGTATAAAATCAGTTTCAATGGGCTAACAAGGGGCTGGTTCCTTCCAAAGGCTCTTAGGGGAAATCTTTTTCTTTGCCTTTTTCAGCTTCTGGTGGCCACTGGCATTCCTTGGCTTGCAGCCCCTTCCTCCAACTTCAAAGTTCATTGCTCCAATTTCTGCTTCTGTCATCACATTGCCTTCTTCTCTGTCTCCTCCTGCATCCCTCTTATAAAGGATATTATGATGTTGGGCCCACCAGACAATCTAAGATAGTCTCCCCATCTCAAGCACTTTAACTTAATCCCAGCTACAAAGTCCCTTTTGCCACGCAGGTAGCATTCACAGGTTTCTGGGATTAGAATGTGGGTAAACTTCGAGAGCCATTCATTATACCACAATTTAGGCTAAACAGCTAACACCTAGGAGGTGGTCATGTGTTGAGGGGGTAAAATGGAAATAAATATTTTTCAAGGTCAAAAAGCTAATAAAAAGTCCACAACAGCCTGAAAATTGTTTAGAGAGCAAATGCTCATTAAGCATCAACTTGGTCAGGGTGTCGGTTCCCCCAGGGGAGTTCAGCAGTGAGGGAGACCTGGTACTGCACAGGAAACACTGTCTTGTGGGGCAGAGTCTCTATATACTTCAACAGGGACAACAGATGGTCCTTCTTTCTTTTTTTCAGCAAGCACTTGCGGAAGGCCTGTTCTTTGCCAGGCCCTATTACCAAGCTGGGCATTTAGAGAGTGAGAGGTACTCATGGTAAATTTCAGGGGATTAGTAGAAGAGAAGCTGAAATCCAGGCAGCAGGAGAGCAAGTGAAGGACCCATATGAAAAGTGTGTGTAGGAGTGCTGAGGAGAGGGACTCTCTGCCCTGTCAAAATTACTGGGAGCCAGATAAGGGCCTGCCTTTTATCCTGCTGTAAGATTGATAAAGGAGGATGTGCCGTCTGCCTCTGTGGTAACATGAAGGACTGTGCAGGGAAAATGAGAAGGGAGGATGGAGGGAAGAGGCAAACTACTAAGGAAGCCACAGGAAAAGGAGAGGCGACTTTTAATTCCAAATGCAAAAATGCTTTAGATTGATCAAAAAAAAAATGACGTTTGTTCTTTCATTCATGTAATAAATATTGATTGAGCATCTACCAATTGCCAGACACTACTCTACCTGGGATACAGTAGGAGCTGAAACAGACAAAGCAAGTCTTGGCCTCATGGAGCTTCCATTATAGTGGAGAAAGGCAGTAAACAAGTAGGTAAGATATGTGCAAGATATGGTGGTAAGTCTTATGGGGCCAAATTAATCAAGGAAGCAGCATAGAGTTCTGATGGAAAGGACTGTTCCTTCCTTTAGTATTTATGGAGCATCTACCACGTGCGGGGCAGTGTGCTAAATGCTGCAGGGCAGAGATGAATTTATCCATTCCTGACAGTCACAGTGCTAAACCCTGGGGAAGCCAGGTTTCTGCCCTATAATAGAATTTCCAGGCAAATGTGAGAATCAATTCTTTATCGATTGAATATTCAAGATGTATAATTATAAACTGAAGTAAAAGCTATGACTAGAATGTAATGTATACATCTAATTAAATTGGGGGACAGGAGCAGGCATATCTGAGGAAGTGATAATTGAGCTGAGAACCAATGAATATATAAGAGTGGATGATATAAATACTTGTTATAAACTATTATAATTAGAACAGGGGTGGGGCAACTAGCTCAATGTAAGAAAACAGAGAAGCTAGAACTAGACTTGTACATATATAAAAAATGATATATGACAACGATGGCATTGCAGGTTAGTGGCCAGGTACAAGCAATTCAATAAATGTTACCAAGACAACACGTTATCCACATGGCAAAAATTAAATTGGATCCCTGCTTCAAACCATACACAGAAATCAGTTTCAGGTGGTTGAGAGACTTAAATGTAGAAGAAAAACCTTTACATTTTACCAGAGAAAATATAAAATCTCTTTAGAATCTTGGATATAATTAGCCAAGTCACAAAAAGCACTGACCATAAAGATTGAAGATCAAAACATTTAACTACATTGCAATTACCAACTTCTATTCATCAAAATACATCCAGGGAGTGAGAGAAGAGGGAAGAGAGAAGAGAGAGAAGAAAAAGAAAGGTAAAATAAGTTGCAAACTGGGAGAAAACATTTGTAAATCATATAACTAACAATAAGTAGTCTTAATAATATATGACTCCTAAAAACCAGGAAGAAAATATGCTACAACTCAATAGAAAATGGGTACAAAGTGTGAACACAGATTTTTTTCCCCCAGAAAAAGACATTCTGTGGGAAATAAGCACATGAAAGATATTCAACCTCCATACGCAATGATATTAGGTTCACAGGCCATCACTTTACACTGATTAGATTGCAAAAAAAATTTTAAAAAGTTAAGATACTGACAATAATATCCTGGCGCCTGCAGGTGTTAGGGGAGGTGTCCATTACAAATGGGCCTGTGGTGTGTGTTTGGGGCTAAGGGTAGGTTAATGGGATGGGAATCTATTGCTTGGCTTCTGTCTCATTCATGTCCAGGAGGCAGGAATTTATCTTTGTCACTGGGATAGGTGAACGATGCGGGAGGAAGGTGAGCAAGATTCTCAAATATACTGTGAAGAAACCCCCATAACCGACATGCCTGCCATTCTGCTTCCCATTTATTATTGGGTACCTGTCACCTCTGTCCCCTAATAATAAATGAATGAATGAATGAGCACCTTGAACAATGTCTTTTTAAACTGGATCACACCCCTACCTCACCCTTACAAACACCTCGCCCTGGACCAGGCTCAGAGTAGGATGACTGCTAGATAGATGCCCTTAGAATTGGCCTAAATTCCAAGCTCCGTTACCAGCATCCCTTCCCTCCCACTCAGACGCCCACCCTCCCTCCAGCCTCGCCCCAATTAAACCAGCAGAGGCCAGGGAGCTCCCATCAGGGCAGCTCAGAGCGTGCAGGGGGAGGACCAGGCTGGAGAGGGCGCCGCGTCACGCGTCAGGGATGTTTCATTAGGAACGAGGAAGCCCCTGGATGCCGCCTGGCCCCGGCGCACGGCAGGTGCGGAGCCCGAGTCACGCGAGAAAGAACCTTCCAACGCCGCGCCTCGGGCCGGGGGCAGGGGTGGGGGGTCACCTGGGAGGGCGCCCGCCGCGAGCCGCCGCCGGTCAGGGCACGCGTTGCCCGGCCCGCCGCCCCGCCCCTCCCGCCGGCGTCCCTACCTGCCCGCGAGGCTCGGCCGTCGGTCCGGCGGAGCTGCAGGTCGGCGGCCCCCAGTCAGCGGGCCCGCGGGGTGGGGACCGCGCACCAGCCCCACTTCATCATGTTCGGCGACTCATTCCGGGTGGGCTCCCGGGGCAGGGCGGCCGGGCCGGCGGGAGAGGCCGCGGACCGGAGGCGGGCGGGGGCCCGGGAAAGCCCGACGGCGTCGCCGGGGTCTTACGGGGGGACGGGGAGAGGTCGGGCGGCGGACGTCGGCCGCGGGCGGGACGGAGGGGAAGCGGGTGGAGGGGGCGCGCCGCGCTGGACCCAGCGGAGCCGGCGAGGGCGCGGAGCGTGCGGGGCGGGGCATCGGGGCGCCGGCGTGAGAAGTGGGCCGGATCGCCGGGGTCTGCACAGGAGCAGGCGGGCCGGGCGGGCCGGGGAGGGGCGGGGCGGGTGGAGTTGGAGGCAGGGCGGAGGCCCGGGGGGCTTGGATGGGGGAGTGCTCAGTCTCCTCCTCCCGCCTTGGAGGTGTTGGGGTGACCCGAAAAGCTAAGATCTCCCAGCACCCCAGCTCCCAGCCTAAACTGGATGCAGCAAGGGAGGCGAGCCCTCCCCTGCTTACCTCTCAGCCAAGATCACCTCTGGAGGACGCCACACCCAGTCTCCCTCTCCAGTTCTGTCCTTGGGGGCTGTGGCCTTCAGTCCAAATTGTATGTTAGAAGCAATGCCAGCAACCACGCCACCTCCAGGAGGGGACTCCCAGGGATGGCACCCTTGGCTGTAGCGAGGATGGAGGAAGATGGGCAGGGAGGGCCTGGCAACAGTAGCGCTCGCGGGCCATCTGCTTGGCGTGGTTCAGGCAGCCTGAAACATGCCACCGTGTCTGACCTGCAGCTGACCCCGTCCCCACTGGGTGCCCCCTAGACTCGGCCTGCTTTCTCTTGTAGTGCCTTTCTCTCTGCCCAGTTTCTTTCAGGCACACCCCAGCGTTTATGCCTCGGGTGTGGAGAAGGCTCCTGTGTGCCTGAGAATGGTCCTGCCAAGGGCAGGCAGGACCTGAGGTGCCCTGCTCGCATTGTGTCTGGCTAGGACCCGTCCCTGCTCCTTGCCGTCGCCGTCATTGGGCTCACGGTGCTTCTGTTGGCCCTGAAGAACATGAACTCAAGGAGGAAACAGCTTGCGGTCACCTTACAGAACCCTGAGACCAAGTATCCGCTGCCCCTGATTGAGAAAGAGGTAATGGGTCAGCCCACGGTCAGCAGGTAAACGAGAGGGGGGCAGAGGGGTGGGGAAGGTGCTGAACTGGGAAGGCAGGGTCTTGGGGCAGACTTACAAAGCCTCCCCACTGCCACTGTGTGTGTGTGCACCTGGGAAAGCACCAACTGGGGCTCCCCAGCACGGCTTCTAGGAAGCTGACAGAGCCTGCCTTTGTTTTCTGTTTTATCAGCAAATCACCCACAACACCCGGAGGTTCCGCTTTGCACTGCCCTCAACAGAGCATGTTTTGGGGCTTCCTATCGGTGAGTGGTGTTTGGTTTCAGGCCTCCTCACAGATTTTGGTTTATGTTCCTGAAGGTACTGGAAGGACTGGCCCCTCCACGCCCCTTCCCTCCTTTCCCTCCTCCTCCTCCTCCTGGTCCCCCTCCTCTCTGTCTTTCTCCAGGTCTCTACCTCTGTCTACATATCCACTCCCTTTCCTGTGTATAGTTTCTACTCCCTCAGGCACCCTGGCACAGAGCTGCCTCTGGCTTCTGTCTCTGAGCATCTCTATTGCCACTTCTGCCTTCACCGCTAGTTGCTGAAGACTCCCTGTTAGATCCAGCAGAAATCGGAACGGCCCAGCCCATCCTGTGGCCTGGGGTGGAGTTACGATCCGTAGGTCTCTGGCCGAAGCTGGTCCCTTCAGTTCCACCCTGGAGGGGCGGGATTACATGGTTCAAACCTTCACTGCTGCCCTTCAGCAGAGCCATTGCCCAGGAAGACACAGTGCTCTTTCTAGAACTTCTGGTCTGCGGGTGTCAAAATCCTGGGGCTTCGCATGCCTGTGAGCCCAGGCATTCTCTGTGCCAGGCAACAGGTTACAGCTGAGGGGGCTGTGACTCATTCACTGACCCCAGTGATGCCTCCAGTTTAGGAAGAAATGACTTTGTGATGGCAATGTGTCTTGCTTTAAAAGGGGCACACCCCTTTCTGTAATGTTTAATACTCGGCCTCCAACAATGAGCTCCTCCTGCTCATCTGACACCGTGCGCCCACACTAGCAACAGGTTTCCTGTGAGTGAAGCTGACAACTACAGTATGGTGGAGGAGGGCAGGGATATGGTCCCCATTCACAGAGATGCTCAGAGAGATGAAGTGACTTGCCCGGGGTGGCACACGGAGTGACAAGCACAGGCCTAGCCTTCACACATCTGCATGGGGCTCCTTCCCTGCTTGGCCCTCCTCCCTAGCACCCTGCCCCACTATGCACCCACCTCCCCGAGGCTCAGTCCTTTAGGGGAGCTCTGAGTCCTATTTAGGCTGGCCACGCCGACTTGCCGTTTGATGCCTTTTTGTAGGTAACTATGTCCATCTCTTGGCCAACATTGATGGTGTCCTGGTGATCAGGGCATACACACCTGTGTCCAGTGATGATGACCAAGGCTTTGTGGACTTCATTATAAAGGTAAACGTTGCCCCCCCCCCCCCATGTCTAGGTGCCTCACCCTCACACGCCTATTAGGGTGGACAGTGTCATTTCACAGTGAAGCCGTTGACCTGGTGAAATCTCCGGGTTGCTTAGAGCAATCGTGAGTGCAGGGCATGTTCTGCATGGCTTCCAACAGCAAATGCATAAGTTGCGTGCGGTGGTGGCCTCGGGTCTGAGGCTGTGACAGCCATGCTGCCTTCTTTTTCAGATCTACTTCAAAAATGTGCACCCGAATTATCCAGAGGGAGGGAAGATGTCTCAATACTTGGACAACATGAAAATTGGGGACACCATTCTTTTTCGAGGGCCAACTGGGCGTCTGTTCTATCATGGGCCAGGTACTGGGGGTTCACCCTGGGCCTCCCATGGGGAGGAAGAAGATTCCTGTGGTAGTTGCATTGTTCTAGAAAACTCTTCAGATTTGAGTCACATGGATTTGTCGCACATTCATTCACTACCATTTCACAAGACTGTAGGTGCCACCCAACCAAGGGAGTGGTTGGGTGTTTCCTCATCACTGTATCTCCAGCACAGCACCTGATGCATAAAAAGTAACCTATTACTATTAAAAACTGATGGATGGAGTCCACACTCGTTCATTTACTCCATATTCATCACTCACTCGCTTGCTGCTGTGGGTGGGAGTGCTGTGTGAGGCTCCCTATCCCACTATCCAGCGGAACCTCCCTCCTTCCTCAGAAGATAAGATCCAGGGATTCCCCACAGAGGCCAGGACTCTATTCCCACTCTGTGCACGGGTGCACTGGGCTGGCCACCGAGGTCGCCCTGGCTTCCTCTCTGGCTTAAAAGGGTGCAGCCACTTCCTCAGGTGGACGTGCCCCCCGGGAAGTCCCAAGAAAAGGCAGTGCTGTTTTGCAGACTCTCAGGCAAGGACTCCAGAAGTGAGCAGTATCCTCTGTGTTTGCAGGGAGGTTTTCCGTCAAAGCATACAAAACGAGTAAGCCTGAAGAAAAACGAGCCAGTCACCTGGGAATGATCGCTGGGGGCACAGGTAAGAGGCTTCTGAGGGCTTCATCCTAGGTGAGCCCTGAGCCGTTTCTGACCTTGGAGTCCTTGGATCCTAGAAGGGAGATGTGAGTGATTCCTTCCCTGGCTGTTTCAGATGGGAACGCCGGTCAGTGATAGGCCCTGGCCCTGACCCTGTGCACCCTGCTCCCCATCACCAGCACAGCGGGGGAGGTCCAGGAGCCCCAGGGGAGCCTCTACAGTCAGGCTGCGAACAGGGAAGAGGCTGAGGACCAGGCCGGGGCAGGCCCACACATGGTCCCCCAAGGACTTCTAGCTCCAGTTCAAGCCTCACCCCCATCTTTGAAATGAATTTCTGAAAGAAAGGAACAAACATCTAAGGAGACTTACAACTTGCCAGGCACCATCATAGGCACTTTTAAAACTATTCCATTTACTCATCGTGAATTCTGTTTCACAAACGAGGACCCTGAATGGCTCAGACAGGTGCTTGAATCACCCTGGTCAGATAGCAAGAGAACTGGGCATGGAACCCAGTTCCCCAACCAAAGCCAACGCTCCTTCCATCTTCCATACGGAAATGAGAAAGGGAAAACCAAAATGAAGGGCAGTTTGTCACTGTGAGTTTTGGGGACCAAAGTGAGAAAAGTAGACCTGGGGTCCAGCTGCTAGAGACCAGGGACTGTGGGCGGCCGCGAGGGCAAGCTGGCCTGCCCGCAAACTGTGTTCCAGGGATCACGCCCATGCTGCAGCTCATTCGCCACATCACCAAGAACCCCCGTGACAAGACCAGGATATCCCTCATCTTTGCCAACCAGGTCAGTTTTGCTGAGTCAGCCCTGGGCTCGCAGGGGTAGGATGGATGGAATGTTTGCTGGACAGGGCTCTGCGTTCTCCCCGCCCCGCACTGAGCCCAGTCCTCTTGGTGCCTGCGGCTGTGGGCGGGCCAGTGGGCTGCTGGCGGTGGGGAAGCTGAATCCTGGCCTGTTTTCCCATTTGTTGCTCTTTTAAAACTCTTGTCTCCCCAACCAACCTAAGCACTATGCTTTCCTTCCTTTCTTAGTACTTAGTTCTACGTTTATCTGAGTATAAAATCATAGCAGTGCTCCATGCAAATTTTGGAATATACAGAAACATAAAATATTTGACTTATTTTTGTCTTTTTTTCTCTACATACTATATATGTATTTACAGTTCCATACATAGAGTTTTGTTTTTTTAGTCAACATTACCATGCAGGCATCTTCTTCTCATGAAAGCTCTTTGTAAATATTTTCATTATGGTCTATATCAAGTTGCACCATCATTTACTAAATCCTCTACATTCAGATTGTTTTTGGTTATAAATGATGGTGATGAATAATTGTACCTCCCCTTGGTCACTTTTGGATTATTTTGTTAAAAAGAATCTCAGAGGTGGAATTATGGGGACCAGAATGATAACGAGTTTTAGGATTCCAGGCCTCTGTGCAGCATCTCTGAGCCTGTGACAAGTTTCTTTAGGCTTTGGCTCGCTTTTTCCCACATGAGGCTCTAGCCTTTGTTTTGCTCTCCTTTAGCTCTCCAGTGTTGTTATATTATATTATATTAATTATATTATATTATATATTATATTATATTTATTATATTATATTATATTAATTATATTATATTATTATATTAATTATATTATACTAGAGGCCCGATGCATGGAATTTGTGAAAGGGACTCGGCCCTTCCAACCACGACAGCTGCCCTCGGCCCCCTGGCTTTGTCCGGAAGATCGTTTGGCTGTCCAGTCTAATTAGCATATTATGCTATTATTATTATATATTATATTATATTAATTATATTATATTAATTACTAGATTATATATTGCTGCCTTAGCCCCTTCCATTCCCTGCAGAAGATCCTGGGCCCACACTAAGCTCGTTTCAGCTGGGTTTGCTGAACCTGGTGCTCTGTGTGGTTGTGGGAGGTGGGGCTGGGGCCTCTGAGGGAAGCCACCCCACTGCTGTGGAGCCACGGCCTTGCAGCTGGAGGCAGTCACCCAACCACCCAACTCCTGCCCTCACAAGAGAGGGTTTGTTGTGCAGGAGCAGGGTCTGTGGGGAGCACCCCAGCTAGAGTTGTGGCAGCTGGAACAGGAACATGCTAACCCATGGGCTCCATCGGAGGGATAAGCAGGAAGTCCCTGGAGGGGCCTTGCTCAGGCTGCTTCCTTTCTAGACAGAGGACGACATCCTGATGAGAAGTGAGCTCGAAGAAGTTGCCACAACTCACTCGGAGCAGTTCAGCCTGTGGTACACCCTGGACAGGCCTCCTTTTGGTGCGAACCCCATTCTCCCCACTGTGGGCCATTGACTCACCTCAGGGCCGAGTCCCTGAGGGTGTGTGTGTGTTTATTAGGACTGGGCTTGGGGATTGAGGACTTGGGCTCTCCCTCCCACGGAAAATTCAGGAATTTGAAGAAGGGAGGGAGGATTTGGGACGACCTGCTTGCAAAGGCAGTCAAGGGAAGGTGTCTGATATCTCAGCAGAACTTCACACATTGCACTGAATATCAGGAGGGACACTGAGGCACTGGGCCACCCTGAACACCTACCTCACCTTGCATTCCACACACATCCCACGGAGGCATCAGATACACTGCCTCTAGTACGGCCACTGACCCCTTCATCCCTCACTACTCACCTCACAGAAGTCCTCACCTGCTGAGCCCCAGACAGCACCCAGCCACCACTGTACACCCCGCAGCCCACTAGGCCACCACTCCCTGTAGGCTGCCTCCCCCACACTGCAGTCTGTGTCTGCCTTATCATATAGCTCACTGCCCAGCAGAGGGAGCCACCCAACTGAGCCAGTCCACAAGCCCCACAACACTGCAACTACAAAGCTCCAGCTTCGGTTCCTGCCACAGCTTGGCACATCCTCCCTCGCTGTCCCCTTCTCCATCCTCGGCAGTGCTCACGGCAGGCAGACTCCAGCCAGAGGCCTCAGAGCCTGGGATCTGGAGTAAACTGAGGCCTGCCTGGGGCCCCATGTCCTCTACTTCTCTGCTTTCTGCAGAGAACAGTAGTACAAACTTCTGAGTCTTGGGGAGCAGCCTGGCTTCCCTCTCCCTGGAGGGACAGCAAGAGGCCTGGGTCCAGGGCCTCTCCTAGAGCCTCCCCAGCTCTCCTCTGCTTACCCTCAGGCTGGACGTACAGCTCGGGCTTCGTCACCGCCGACATGATCCAGGAGCACCTCCCTGCTCCCGGCAAGTCCACGTTCATCCTGGTGTGCGGCCCACCACCCCTGATCCAGACAGCCGCTCACCCGAACCTGGAGAAACTGGGCTATACCAAGGACATGATCTTCACCTACTAACGCTTCCCTTGCTCTTAGCAAACACCCCTGGTCCCTTCCATCTGACTCACAGTGAGTTGAGCGTCACCATGTTCAGAAGTGCCTCAGGGCACCCTCGGGCTCACTGGAGCCCCCCTCTTTGGGGTGGGCCTATGAAGGGAGTAAGGGGCTGGAGACAAAGTGGCCTCTGGAGCCTCCTTGCCTGGGGAGGCTCGGAGGGACTGCATCCTGGGACCTTTCCCCTTGGCTCAGGGAAATAAACTTCAGTACAAAGCAGATGGCCCATGGAGTGTGGCTCTGTGGGGGACCCGCTGGGCACTTAGAAGGCCCTGGCCTGCCCTCCACGTGCATTGACTGGGTGTCCATGGGAGGGCAGAATTTCGGAAGAATCCAAGTGTGGTCATGTCAACTCCCAGGAATCTGTTTTGATCCCCACCATCCCCACCCCCACACACGTTTGTTTTTTATAATCCTTACTCGAGGATATTTTTTCATTGATTTTTAGGGAGAGTGGAAGAGAGAGGGAAAGAGAGAGAAATATCGATGTGAGAGAAATACACTGATTGGTTGCCTCCTGCACGCGCCCTGACCAGGGGAGGAGCATGCAACCAAGGTACATGCTGTTGACTGGAATCGAACCTGGGACACTTCGGTCCACAGATCGATGCTCTATCCACTAAGGCAAACTGGCTAGGGCCACAGTGTTTTGTTTTTAAGGTCAGCCTTACGACAGGGCTCAGGCACCCTCCATGAGCATTCGCCCTTCTCCTGCGGGAGACCCTTGAAGGAGAAATGGTGTTAAGAACACACATGCCAGGGCAGTAGGTGGGCCCGCAGGGTAGGAAGGCTCCAGGAATCCTAGACTCCCTGCACTTTGCACAACACATGGAGGTAAGTGGTGCATTTTCGCTCGTGTCCTCTGAATGCCAGGCCCTGTTCTGGTGCGGTGGGTACGGGTGGTCACAGACAGAAGCTTCCGAACTTGCAAACAAAAAGAGGTTCCAGAAGCTATTTCTTAAATCCTTCGTATCACTAACCCCAAAGGCTACGAGGGCCCACTCTTGCCATCCGATGCTTGTGGCCAGGAGGACAAGCTCCTGCTCTGTTGCCTGTGAGGGGGTGGAACTTGATTTTGTATAATTCTCATAAGGCATAGAGTCCGTGGGGATTTTGTTCTTCAAGTTATAGATGAAAAGGAAACAGCCTCAGAGACGTTACTTTCCCCAGGTCATTCAGCCAGTAGGTGGCAGAGCTGGGCTTCAAACCTGGGTCTGTTTAATTCCAAGTCACTCCTCCCTTCCCTTCTCACAAACACTGGAATAGTAGCAGCATTGCCAAACATTGGTGTTGCTGGACTTCTTATTCAACACGTATGTGGGTAAGTGACGGGGAGGGGGGAGGGCTACAGGAGAGAGAGGGACACCGCTCTAGGGAACAGCTTTGTAGCACCCACAGGGTGGCCCCACACAGGGTACCTCCGGGCGGGCTGGTGGGGTGGGCTGCTGGGAGGCAGCCAGCCCCATTCCTCTGCATGGTCAGCGTGTCCTCGGTGAATCCCCTCCTCAGAGAGAGGTACTCTGCCAAGCACTGCATGATGAGGAGATCCTATGCTGAGATATTTTTCTTAAGCACAAATGTTACCTTGCTTGTCTCCTGCTTTAACCTCTTACTCTTCCCCACCTGGCCACCTGGGTCTCCAGGATAAATTCCAGGGCCTGGCTTACAAGGCCTTTCCTGATCTGGCTCCAACCGGCTCACCAGATTTCTCTTTCCCTGGGCCCCCCACTCTGACCCCCTTCTCTGGCTCAGCGGTTCTCAGCTGGAGGGGATCTATGCCCCCCCCCCCCCCCCCGCAGGGACCATTTGGCCAGCTTGGGAGACAGTTTTGGCTGTCACAGCGGGAGAAGAGTTGCTATTGCACCCAGAGGGAAGCCACGGGCGTGGTTAAACATCCTAGAGCACACAGGACAGACCCCTGACAGTACCCAGCCCCAAACGCAGCGGTGCGGGGCTGAGAAACCTGTCTTCACACGACTGCCCAGGATGTGCTGAGATGCTCAGGTCTGTCTGCCTGGCGTGCCTGTCCCCTTGGCACGGTTGGGGAACCAGCTTCATCTTTCAGAACTCAGTGATCACCTCTTCCTTGGAGCCTTTTTGGTCCGGGCCCCCAGTCCGGTCCTCCATTTAAAATGGTAACTTGCTGTTGGGGCTGTAGGAACTGCTCCTGGAGCCCCTGCAGCGTCAGCACCCTCCTGTTTGAGACTGACCTGTGTGCCCTCTCGGGACCGTCTGCACCCTTAGGCAGGACCTTGGCGTTCATGCCTGTGCCTTTAACCTTCCTCGGTGCAGGACGAAAGGCACTTAGCCTGCACACACGAAGGTGTGTGTGTGGGTGGGGTGGGGGAGGGGGATTAGCAGCATGGATCTCCTGTGCCCTGTGAGGACCAGGATCGGGCCTTACAATGGGCACGGAGCCCACCCACAGCAGGTGCACGGTAGTTTGTGTTGAGGGCAGGTATGGTAAGGGAGAAACACCTGTGAAGGCTTCCTGCAGGAGACATGTCTTCCAGGTCTCAGCAGGCAGGATTTGGCCTTGTGACGACGGGGACTGGGAGAAAAATACATCCCACAGTGAGGGGAGAGTGAGACAGTAGTGCAGGCATGGGCACGGGGTCCTGAAGGCTGGAGGTTCCACAGGGCTGGGGCGCTGACGAAGGCTTTTGAGCTCCCATCTGTGGTAATTCTGGAACTGAGGAGTCCTTAGTGCTGTGGGAAGGTCACTGGGGAAGGGGTAGAGGAAGTCTAAAGGGGGCCAAGTAGGAGACCGGCTGGCTGTGGAGATCAGATGAGAGGTGGGGCCTGAGCTGGAGCCATCACAGGGGGGTTAGGGGCCGGTCACCAAGGGCGGAGCCTGGCTGGGAGGGGACTGTGGGGCAGGGGCACGGGCTCTCTCCTGAAGTGGGAGCCCCCTGAGGTTCATGGGCTTCTCTGGCAGATGGAGTTGCTTTGGAAAGGATTTGAGATTCCCAAGGTTATTCCACTGGGGGGAGCTGTTTGATCAGACAGTTGCATTGGAGGCTGGTGAGGGAAAGGCTGGAGGCTGGGGGGGGGGGGGGGGGCGAGGGGCGAGGGAGAGGGTGTGTGCGTGCTCTGCTTGCCCAGCTTCACGCACAACCTGAGACAGGCTTGCTTTGCAGTTGAGGGTAGGTGAGGGCAGCCAGGGCTGGGAGGGAGTCTCACTGCTCCTTTCCTCTTCTCACCCGGATCCCTCATGGGACCAGATTCCTGTGAGTGGCAACACGCGCCTCTGTCTGGCAGCAGCCCAGGGAGGGGCCCTGTTATCCCCAGCCTGGCTCAGTCACCACAGCGCACTCGGAGGGTGGTCTCAGCACTTTCCCAGCAGAGCCTTTATGCACGCTCGGCCCCGCCCCTTTGGTAGAAGAGCCTCCCGCTGTCACCAGGAGCAGCTGCGTCTGCACCCACATCTCACTGCCTCCACACAAAAGTGGTCGCAGCCACGTATAAAAGTACAAAAGGTATAAAAGCTGTGGCGAAGGGCACGGCACTGTTGAAAATGTGGGGCGCTGGGGCCACCTCTGGACATCTGTCCCAGCCCCAGTGCCCTGCCGCCAGCACCCACGTCTGTTCGAGGTGCCCTGCCTGCCTCAGCCTGGCTCTGCTGGCTGTGTGCCAGCTCCCCCCCCGCAGCAGAGCCTGGGGTCCACACGCGCCTCTCGGGCTCTCTGCCACGAAGTCATCTCCAGTCCTCAGAGTTGGGAGCAGCCGGGTGAGAGTCGTTCAGCATCTGGTCCTGGCTCAGCATGGTCTGAAAGGTCACAGCCGAAGGCGCAGTTGAACGGGGTTTGGGTCAAGGCCACCCTACTGCAGCTATGTGGGAAGCAGGGAGCCCTGGGGGTGGTCCCGCCTGACACTGTTAAGTTCATGGTGTCCCAGGGACCCTGCTGTTGGGTCAGATCAGACAGCATGATCAAGATGGTAAATTGCTCATACCTTAGAGGTAAAGTTGCTATTTTCAAGGCCACCAGAAACCTATTAGAGGTGAGAAGGGCAGAGCTGGGTGGAGTTATTTAGGTGTGTGAGCCAAGAAAAAAAGAATTGAATAAAAATGATCCTACTTGGATTCGGGAAGATGCCCTCCTCCCCGATCATGCCCTTGAATACAGCCTTCTTAACCTGTCTGTATGGGAACCAACAGGACCTAAAATATATGGGGCCCCCAAAACGTGAACTGGGCTAGCCTTTTCCTGCCTCTTCTAATTTGCCTGTGCATCTTGCAAGGAGCTAACTTTAGCCCTGCTTCACAGAAACGGAACCAGGGCTCGGAGAGAGAATGACTTGCCCAACATCCCAGCAGGGGCATGAACCAGGCTAGCCTCACTCCCGGGGTACTCCTCTCCCCGAGACCAGGCTGCCTGCTGGGCACGCCAGTACATGCTCAAGTGACTTGATATTCAGGATGTCAGGGGCATGACGGGAAATATGTGGGTCTCATGGGCAAAGAGGGTAGAATAGTGTTCACCAGGCCAGAGGTGAGGCTGGGCATTGGGCTGACTGGGCAGGTGACCATCTCGGTTTCCTCACCAGCTCTGAGCCTGGGAAGAGAGGCCTGGCATGCTTTAGCTGGTTTTTGCTCGAGGTCCATAACCCTCCCCAGGGCCCAGCAGCAGGCCCGTGGAGAAGGCATGTGGACTCCCTGCTGCCTAAGGGCTGGCTCAGGCTCTGGCCCCAGCAGCCAGCACCCTCCTTTGTTCTCTCTGCACCCCCACCTCCACCCCACCTCAGAGCTGCTGCTGACACAGGCTCTGGAGTGGGGACAGGGCTGTCCCAGGTCTTGTGCACCACCTCACCAATCTCACAGGGCCTCCCAGCACCTGTCCTACTGTGGAGAGAGTCAGGGTCCTACCGTGAGGCGGTGAATGTCTTGGGAGAGGAGCCCTATCTGCGTCACTGTGCCTTCCGAAGGTGCCATCTGTAAAAGGGCAGCGGCCCGGTCAGCATAAGTGGACTCCCCTCGTGACTCACAGGAATGGCATGCACATCTTCTCCAGCTCGGGCATGCTCCCTCGGGATGCACACAGGAGTGGGCCAGGCCCTGAGAGCACATGCCACCTCTGTCCCTGGGGAAGCACGGAGCCTCCAGCGCCCCACACTGCCATGCACATGCTCTCCTGGGTCCCTATCCGGCAATGGTTCCAAGGGTAACCCAAGCAGGGCA